AGAACAAGATATTATATGCTTCGCAGAGCAAAATTCTAAAGAACATCTTTCCCCACAATATGATATTTTAATTGATCCAATATAATTTGTTTATACTGATCGTGTATTTCCTGATTTTTAATAAGCTTGTAGCTTACAGAATCAAAATGCCTTTTCGCAATTTCATAATTAGTATTTAACTCAACTGCAGGTACCATTTGTTCTTTCCACATCAGTCTACAAACGTAATTTTCCACAGAATTTTCAAACTTTTCAATCAGTTGATTATCCTTTACGGAAAAGTTTCTTTTTTCTGATTAAAATTCTTCTGTCTCCCGGATTTGTTTCAAATCGCACAAGATCGAAGAAGAATCTATGACTGTGACCGAATCTATGACGGAATCGTGATGACAATTTTTATTTCTGCATTTAAAGATGAAGTGGTTTATATATTTTAGGGCTTTGAACAGTTTTTTTTTTTTTTCTAAGAATGAGTGTTTTGATAATTTTGTGAGAAAGATGGTTTCGTTTCATAACTTTTAGGAAGAATCATCAACGTTTCGTCTATTTCCTTACATTCCACTTTTCTCAAAAATATGATAATTTCTGAAACCTCATAGTTCATTTTCCTGTTTCTTTTTCTGTGAAATTCTAAAACCAAATCTTGTGGTCTTGTAGTCTTCCTCAATATTAATATATTCAATAAATACTCATATGAACCCTCGGTTACATTTAATGAACACAAGTTTCTCGTATGAATTTCTTTTTCATCGTATAATGTACGTATGTAGAGACATTAGGTTTATTTTGTAAAAACAGAACTGAAAATTAGCAATGCCCTCGCTGGGACCCGAACCACGGAGCTCTCGAATACGCGTCGAGCGTGCTGAACAGAGCGTGCTGAGCGTGCTACAACACGAAAGCGTGCTAAGAAAACTCGAGAAATACCTTATATACTCCTTTTTTTAAAGGGCGACTGGGGTTTCAAGGGACCAAATCGCAAAATTCTGGTGGTGAAGAATCATCATTCACCACCTTTTAGTTCGGGCGCCAGTGTAGAGACATTAGGTATTTTTTGAAAGGATAGATATGAAAAATGAGCAACGCCTACACCGGGACTCGAACCACGGACCTCTCGAATACACGCCGAGTGTGCTGACCACTACACTGCGAAGGCATGCTAAGAAGACGGGAGAAATACCTTATACGTAAACCTTTAAGATTACGGGTTAGTATTACAGAACTTTTCACGGGCTCTAAGTTTAATAATTTTGTCATATAAGATTTGATGATAGTATCAGTTCTACACTATCTTTGTTTAAGAAGTTCAAAGCAAGAATCATAATTTTTCTAATTTAATTAAAATCCAGCAGCAACATTATACGAAGGACCAGAAAGAAGGGATTTTAAATACTGGAATTTTTTGACATTTATAAAAGAATTATTTGAACCGATTGCTCTATCAAAATTGCTAAGAAATCCATATATTCTAGAATCACAAGAGAACCACGACATTTTTAACTTTGGTAATTTTGAAGTCGCAACAGTGTTTTTCGAATACCAGATGTATTAAGAACTGAAGGAGTTCACTGAATACTTTCTGCTTTTAATGCTTTAATTTAATCTTAGCAGACAACATTTTGTCATTATATTCTTCGGAACCTTTTCCGGTCGTCTGCTGAGTGCTTGTGTTTCTGAATCATAGCTTTTCAAAATCTGTTCTTTCATTTCTAAAATAACTCTCAAATTTTAAGTCTTCGGCAGCTTAATCGAGCTTTTGAACTCTTTTTAACTAGTTTAGTAACACTACTTTGAATGTCATGTCTCCTTATAACTATTTTCAAAAGCTTATCTATATTAACTGAAAATTTGTTAATTCAAAAAGACCTAACCTTTACAGTCTTAAATACAGAACTTTGTAAAGTATCCAAAATTTGTACTTCTCAGAATTTATGCATCCAGTGACGACCAATTATTTTTGATGTTTTTTTATTTTCCATACAGTGCAGTTTGTTTGACAAATCAACGTTGTATTATATAGTATCATGCATTTATACCAATTTTGTTCTTGCGTTAATATTTAAAAGAATTTCTTAAGGACAAAATTGCTCTGTTTGATGTAAAATAATTGAAATCACATAAATGAAAGATCACACGTCATACTGTTTGTTTGTTTCAAAGGAGTGAAATTTATTGCATTGCAGTTTGTTTAATTCAAATAAGTTTAATTTATTGCATTGTAGTTTTTTATTTCAAGCCAGTGCAGTTTATTGTATTTCCAAAATAACAATGTTTTAGATACTGATTCTGTTTTAATATTCTCAACTTTATGTTTATTTCTGGATCTGTAATACGTCATGCAGGGTTATTAATACTGTATTCAGTTAATATAACATATTCAGTGTTATAACTGTATTCAGTTAACTAACGTAAACATTTTATATTAAATTAATTTTGAACTATTACTTCCTGGGCCCGTCAATAGCTCAGTAAAACTCATAATTAAATAAATCACTTTACACAAAAACTCAAAAATGGACTGTATACTAAAATTTATTAATTACTCAAAAAGCCGCATAGTTAGTTCACATCTCTCGGCGGCGTCTCAGAACACACTCAAAACTCAATACAAGTGGCCGCAAGGAGGCGCTATAAAAACATCAGCGTCATGGTTTTGAACACAAATATTACATATTTTTCACAGATGGCGCCTTTGGCGTCAACATCCAGCCCGGCCTTGAATGTTACATTCAACAATAAATTTAGAACACAAGTTATAAAATACGAACACAACACTCCAAGATAATAATAATGATGGTTATAACAATTATACAAACTCAAACTTGATAATTAACTACAAATACAATTTAAGTAACTGAAACTTTTTCATTAACAAAAGGCAAAGGTACAATTTTTGTCATTGGCCTTTTATAGGTTCCATTTTTATCTTTAAGTGTCACAACTCGAATAATATATCTTGACCTGGATGGGTTTTAATAATTCGTGCTAATGACACTTTAAAGGAGAGTAATTATCCGAATCTTTTACTAAAACTAAATCTCCTTCTTCATTTCTACTTTCCTTATACCATTAGGTCTATTTAAAAGTTTGTTTAAATATCAGACGACCATTTTTCCAAAATTTTGATTTAATATTTGAACCATTTGCCATCTAGTTATCCGATTTATAGGAATCTCTGTAAAATTAGGTTCAGTCAATGCAATTAAAGATGAACCAATAAGAAAGTGAGCAGGTGTCAATGCCTCTACATCATTTGGATCATTTGATATGGGACAAAGAAGGCGAGAATTAAGTACAGATTCAATTTGAAAATCAGAGTAAAAAATTCTTCATAAGTTGGAATTGTTTTTTCCACCACACGTTTAAAGTGATATTTAAGGGATTTCACACTAGCTTCCCATAAACCTCCAAAGTGAGGAGTAGAGGGAGGATTAAAATGCCAATTTATGCCTTCAGTAGCCAAATAACCTTCGATTTCTTCCTCACTTTTATCCTTAAATAAAGATTTTAAAATCGCTCTTAATTCTCTATGAGCACCACAAAAATTTCTGCCATTATCACTGAAAATATCTGAGGGTTTACCTCGCCTGGCAATAAAGCGTTTAAGTGCTGCTCTAAATGCTGCACTTGTTAAACAATTAACAATTTCAAAGTGCAAGGCCTTCGTAGTGAAACATACAAAAATACATACAAATACTTTTCTTACCTGTTTACTTCTACCTACAAATTTTTTTGCCAGAAATGGACCACAGAAATCGAGTCCTGTTTTCACAAAAACTCTTGATATAGTCACACTCGCAGCTGGTAAGTCAGCCATCTGTTGCTGCACAGACCTAGAATTTACCTTTTTACAAATCATACAATTAAATATAAATTTTCTATAATTGTGATTAATCATTTTCATGTTCTTTATTTTCATGCAGGTGCTGAAACAACCCTATCACTTATAAGGAGTAAATTTTGGATTGTTTCTGCAAGAAATTTAATGACGTCAACACTTACGTCATTACTTCATGTATGACATTACGTCATTACATTATTAGCGTTAACACTTCCAAAGAATTTTAAATAACATGCATTACAAATACATCGTATACTTCTTTGCGTACATAAAGTTCAAAATTATTTTAACTTTCTGGAATTCTCTTGTTGTTGTTGTTTATGCTCTTTGTCAGCCAAAGCCCGCGAAATTCCTCGTGGCAAGGAGCGCAATATTACGTCTGCCGTTGGCAACAGCCTTGAGCACCTAACAAGTGACAGTGCGATTTGTCTCAGTTCCGCCTCCAATTCTGATGGAGAGCACCTCGGGGCGACGGGTCCAAGGTTCTACCACTCCACTCCCCTTCCACCAAGCCACACGAAAGGACTATCGGCTCGCCGCATATATAGAGTGCTGCCATGCCGCACCGACACTATACATTTGCAAACATCCATGTCTTCTCCGGGATTCGAACCCGGGCACCAGTCAGCGACGCTAACCGATTGGGCGACGCTAACTGATTGGGCGGCTCAGGATTTCTAATAATAAAAATAGAAATAATACATAAAATAGTTAATCTAACAAATTTGTTATGTAACAGGAATAATATTTTCAAAAATTAAATAACCTAATTTTTCTTTAATGCAAATATATATATATATATATATATATATATATATATAATTTCTTTAAGAAATAAAATCGTACATAAGGAATATTTTTACGAACGTAATTTGTTCAGCGATCATAAACAAGAGTAGATAAATAAATTCACAATTCAAGTTCATCTGCGTACGCACAAAAGAAAATTGCACTCAAACTCAGCCTTGAAGTCAATGATCGAAAGCAAGTATGTGCATTTAAAAAATATCTATGTGACTTACACGTTTAAACACCCAAAAACAGACGAAATCTTTCAGTAATATTCTCCTTTATAATACACAATTGCTCTTTTTTGTTCCCCACTACCAATTCAGTGTTGAGTTCAATCTTATGTTGGTTTTTGTTTATTACATCACAGATACATGTACTGGACAGATTGGGGCAACATTCCTCGAATTGAAAGGTCAGAGATGGATGGTGGAAAAAGAGTGACCATTATTTCGGATAAATTGGGATGGCCGAACGGACTGACCATCGACATAGAAAATTCGCAGCTGGTTTGGGCAGATGCCAGAAGACATGTAAGTGACTTCGATTATTAACAAACAAGTTAATAAGCTTTTAGAATTTCTTTTCTTACCATAAAGAAAAACAATTAAAAAAGTTGCAGATCCTTTAAATTCTAGTCTAACATCTGGAAGGGATGTTTTCAGATCCCTTTTAAAAAATTGGTGGCTTGGAGAAAAGATTTTTATGGAGGCATTTCCAATCCCTCTCCTCTCACTCCTTTCAATACACACTGACGAGGATTGTGTATAAAGTATATTTCCTGAGAGAGCGAAATAATTTATTATTATTATTTTTAATTACTTAAACAAGATAATGCATTTATCTTTTATTATATTTCGTTTATTTAAGATTTATTATATTATATTATGTAAAATACATGCTTATACATTTAAAACCAGTGTTTTATCCTTTTGGGGGAAAATATTGGCATAAATATAGACTTCTGTAATACTGAAATATACTGAAATATAGGTTGTAATACTGAAATATAGAATACTGAAGAATATAGAATACTGAAATATAGAATACATTGTAATACTGAAATATATAATTCCTACTGATTTAATTACAAACCTTAACTGATTAAATTATAGAGAGCTAAACTGTTTATCAATTTAATAATTAATTATATTACTAAACCTACTATAATCAAAAGATTCATATTCACGTGTCATTGTGAGCGGGAAATATAGTTGCCACACAGTAACGGAGGCTGGCTCCTTAAGTTAGCGATAGTTTACAACTCAAGACTTCGCAAAATTATATCACTCGCCGCTGAGAGCGCAAAACAACAGTCTGGCGTGGGAGTTTTGAAGAAAGATGGGAAACATTAAAATATTGTAACGAAATGCCGAGCTGCGGTACGATAGCTTTCCCGCAAAGCTCTTTGGAGTTGCCAGAAAGTGGCAAAGAAAGGCAGGGTTGCCAGATTTGCCACGAAATCACCCATTTGGCGACAAAATTGGTGATATTTTATAGACGAAGAGAGAATATTATAGAACGATTTATTATCGGTTTTCCTGAGAATGTACTCCATGGCAGTTCAAAAGCTATATATATGCCCTGCCCGTACGCGGAACAGCAATGTACGTAAGAGTATTTTGAGTTCAGTAGCAGTGCCTTGAGTCCAGTCGTTTGCTATTTTTCATCTTGTCTGCTTTCAAAAAAAAAAAATACCTAATGTGTCTACAACTCTACAGATTGAGCGCACTCTATTTTTGAGAATTGATTAATATATTTACACATATACACCCAGCTGCATGATGGGATATCGTAACACATCACCATTATAGAAGCTAGAGAACAATGGACCGAGTCGGAAGCTGTACTTTAGTGCTTTGTCGTGAAGCTTTCTTCATCGATATAGCCTCAGCCTGAAGGTTGTATTGCTGATTGATTCAGCGTGTTTATCGTCGTTTTTTAAAGCTGTAAAAGTCTCTTTGGAACTCTCATGTGTAATACTGACGAATCAATTGTGTTCTGATTCTTCATCTAGTGTCGTCATCAATCACTCCGAATCCAACAAAATAGAGTTTAAAATTTTCTTTCTCCTTCTATTTTTATATCTTTGAAATATAGAATTTTAAAAAAATTTCAAAGTTTTACATATTTTTTAAATTATGGAAGGATTCTGAGTTTCCCTGAAAGCGGCAAAAAGGGCGCATGCACCATTTCAGCTAGCATAAATCAGGAGCTGGATGTTTATTATTCATATTTAGTACTAAATCTTTATTCTTTACTTCTTCGTATTATTTTTTATGTTTCTTGTTACATGGATAAATAATTTTGAAACTGTTGGTTGTAGAAAGTGTTATAAAGCAAATCGAATACTGTAGATTCTTCTGATTGCGACAGTTTTAGTCATGCGATGACTGTAAAAGCATACAAAACTTTTAACTAGCTATCTTAACTCTATAAGGTATTTCTCCCACTTCCCTAGCGTGCCTTCGGGGTGTAACGGTAGCACGCTGGGCCGATATTCCAGAGGTCCGTGGTTCGATTCCCGGCGAAGGCGTTTGCTATTTTTCATCTTGTCTGCTTTCAAAAAAATACCTAATGTGTCTACAACTCTACAGATTGAGCGCACTCTATTTTTGAGATAATTTAATTGATTAATATATTTACACATATACACCCAGCTGCATGATGGGATATCGTAACACATCACCATTATACACGTACTCTCTATCACACTATTAATATTACTCAACTCTGAACTCGGTGCCATCGACTAGTAAATTATTATAATTGTTATTATTATAAGTTTCTAAGAATTTTATACGAGCTCCTAAGAAAAATAACTCAAAGTCAAAAGCTTTTTTTGTTTGGACTATTTACGAAAACAATATCTGTACTTGCTTATGTTTTCTTTAATTTGCTCCAAGCTCTCTTTCCCTATTGAGCGCGTCTTTTTTCTATCCGAGTTTCTTACTATGTTTCTTCTGTGTTGAATTTCGATAGGGGATCGTATGAAACAGAAAATCAATGGCTACGCACATGATTTATTTTAAAAAATAAGCAATTTATTTTATTTTTAATAAATGTTTTAGTAAAATGGATATTCTGAATTACATAGGATTAAATTAAATATCATTGTAAACAAAAGTTTCTTCATATTTTGTCATCCTTTGTTACAGCTGCTGTTATCCTATACATTTTTCGTTCCCTTTTCGTATTTTCCGTAAACAGTTTTGTTTTACACTAATGGTTTTGTGACAGAAAATTTACCATAGTTCCGCAGTAAGAAACATAATTCTATTTTTTTACATAAGTCCCAGTTAATTCGCAAACAGGTTAATCGGAAATTGACTTTAATTAATTTGTAGTAAATTTATTTTCAACTAGAATACAGATTCTTAACTCTGGGTTGATATTTTTTCTTTCAGGTAATCGAAGCTTGCGACTTAGATGGACAGCATAGACGGATGTTAGTCAGCGATGTGCCTCATCCTTACGGAATAGCTGTAACTGCACGCTACATATATTGGACAGATTGGTCAGAGCGATCCATCTTGAGAGTCAGTAAGCACACTGGTAGCGACATGGCCAATGTTTGCGCCAACTTGCCCAATCTGATGGATATGCACAACATTCACCTCAACCACACAGGTGCAGAGATTTGTTGACATAACTACAGCGTATTAAAGCCCTCCTACTTACAGGTTGTTCTCGTGTACAGAACTCATGCAAATGTATAACGCATTTCATGAAGATGTCTGCTCATTCTGACTTCAGTTTAACATTTGATGATGAAAATTTAAAAAAACACGTTTGAGCAAAGTATTTTAACCTTCCTTCGCGATTATATGAGTACAAACGCGCATGGACGATCGGTACCATTATGTTTACGGCAGAGATCAGTATCGAGAATACAAGCCCTCTTCTGGATTCGAACCCGGCCCAAACATACATCAGCCATCATGGCTAGTCATTGTACAGGTCATGGTGGCTATTTACATAATAGTCCCTATTTACCAGAGTATATGTGAAGATGGTTTATTTAAACCAGAGTCTTTTCTAAGTCCTTATTTTACCTCTTTTAAACTATTATAATTTAAAACAGAAGAAGAAAGCTTTGGACAACAATTGCATAATACATTTCAACAACCGTAAAATTGACCCCATTATTAAATCACCTAGCGCAAGCGGAAGTAAAAGCGTTTTCGATTAGCAATGTGCTTCATCTGAAATACCTCATCTGAATGTGCCGAAATGTTTTTTCAAAGAAAATCATAAAGAATTATCTATTTGTGACCGAGCAATATCTTTTAACTCTATATCTTGCATTACCACTTTATTCATTAAAAATAAATTTATTAAGCAGGTTTCAATAAAAAATTTCTTACACATTTATAAATGTCCTTCTGTAGCGTGCTATTTTAACCCTCTAGATTATGCCTGCATTAAAGTATACATAGCTTTGAATAATTATAACTTACAAAACAATTTAGCTCTTAAGCTTTGAACATCAAACTGCCGATTCACCTAGTCCGACAAGGGCCAGATTAATTAATTTATATTGTACGTCTTATATTACTTATTTTTTTTTTATTTCTTTTAAGGGATAGTCAACATTTGCTACATTTTATTGTAAGGTTAAGTAATCGTTTAAAATATTATATATCTAATTTAATGTTTCCTCAAATAATGTAAATGTATGCTTTCATATCTGTAATTAAGATATTGCATCTTGATAATCGTACTGACCCCCTAATAAAAAAACAAAGAAAAGAAGCAAGGATTTAGTGAGATAGAAGAAAGCAAAGAATTTTAATTCCTTTCGTTGCCTTAAATAAAATTCACGTATTTAATTGTTGTTTCTAAACTGTAATGCCCAAAGAATGAGAATTTCGTATCTAACATTTATGTCCTTTCATACTCTCCTCTTAAACTTCATTATTACCTTAATTAGCGAAAAATTACATAACCCATTCTTAGAGAAATTTAGAATGTATTTTCTCCCTCCTTCCAGCATGCCTTCGTGGTGTAACGGTTAGCACACTCGGCACATATTCGAGAGGTTCATGTTCGAGTTCCGGCGAGAACATTGCTTATTTTTCATGGCTTCTGTTTTGACATCTTCTGTCTCTAAAAAATTGAATTCAACATTATCGTGATTATCAAGACTTAATTAAATGTTTATTAAGGATCGAGAATATTGAAATGTTATTGAATTCAAAATCAATTATGCAAGTAGTGCAATGTAAAGTACTGTATTAGATATTATTTGTTTTATTGTGAATTAAAGAAATATTTATCGGGTGTCAATGACATACAGAAATCAAAAATTAAATTGTGCGATCAAAAACGTATTGTTAGTAGATTATGAATTGAAGAATTTCAAATAATGTTTACTGTAGTAAATTAACATTTAGTACACAGGAAACAGAAATATTATTGAATGTAAAATAATTCCTCAATTATCACTCTATCCTTTATTCATTATAAAATATCGAAATATTCATTATTTTTATTGTCGCGATTTAAATGAATATTTATTAGGTATGCAGGATAGATAAAAATATTACACTTGTTTGTTTCATTAAAAAATCATTCACTCGATAAATGTGATGTTATTTATTCATTTATTGAATTAAAGTAAATCTTATAAACTCATTTATCATATTGTCTTCTGTTTCGCTGCATACTTTCGTAATTTATTATGGAAAAGCGTATAAGTGTTGTCTATCTGAGGCAAAATGCCCTCGTGGATGTTTTCAAGATGCTTTAGCCTATTTTCGCATTGCAAATGGAAAAACCACACAACTTCGTGCAGTAAACACGTTCGTTGGAAACTAAACCCATCGTCCAAAGATCTTATCTGCTTGTCCTCTTCAGTTCGTTATCTTTTATTGAATATAGCATGTTTTATCCTGAACTTGTAACAAAAGTTCTTCGTTCCGAAGAAATTGGCAGTGGGTAATAAAATACGTTTCTACAATGTCTTTTATCTTCTTTTTTGGTAGATAACCTTAGTGTACTTTACCATTTTCAAATAAACAAAAAATTATTTGCTATGCCCCGATCTTCTGTATTTAGATGTGTATAAGAAAAACTTCAATACGAAAATTTTAATTAATGTATTGTATTTTTTAAACATTTCAGCTGATAATAAATGTGATGGTCATAATGGAGGTTGTAGTCATTTGTGTCTCAGGACCTCATTAGGCTATTCTTGCGCATGTCCAACTGGTATTCGACTTCAGGATAATGAACACACTTGCGAGGAAGGTATTGAGGTTATCAGGATATTTAAAATCTAGAATATTATTACATATGTGTATAGATGTGTGTTATTATATTACATCATATATTACTTAATTGGTTTTATTTTATTAGAAATGTCTTAATTTGAGGATTATTTCATGTTTTCTAAATGCTCATTTCTTTTTATCGTCTCCTTGTCTAAATGTATGTTTCCCTCAAAAGTTGAGAATTTTAGGTGTAAATATATTCTAATATCATTTGTCATACCTCGCCAGTTTTGAATTATTTAGCTAAATATCTTTATTTCTTTGAATGATAATTTAATATTTTTATATTTCTTATCTGTGTCTCTGTTATCTCAAATGTTTGTAAGTTCTAAGAGAAAGTAAATTTGGTTATGCATTCTAGGCGTAAAAAATTTCATATCTGGCAAATTAAAATAGAAACATGCTATTAATCAAATCAAATAATAAAAAGAGGGGAGCATAACACAAGGAAATGAAAAATGTACTGTTGATTATGTTTCGCTATATATTAAGCCCATATTTTTAAACATCTTGATTTTATGTTTTCATTTAATTATGTAAGTAAACTTTCCTTTGTATTTTTTATTCGATTTATTAGAGCATAAAAATTGACCACTCATTAAAATCATATTATTGGTAAACTCCAAATTGCTAAATTACAGTACGTTCTATGCAGATTTTATATTTTAAACCATTAAAGGATAGAGAACTTTATAGATCGCATGAAAAAGTTATGCCCTATGAGTTGATCTTAAAGCAATATTTGGACAAACATGAATGCATTATGACAATTATTTCAAGTTTTTCTAACAGTGAAGCTTAATTTAATCACCTTTTGGTCTTTTGCTTCATGCCACATATATCTATTAAAACTAGAAGATTAGGCTAATTAAAACAGCTTAAGGGAGTGTAAAAGAGCTAATTGCAATTCATGCCTTTTGAGCGAAGAGCAGTCTTGTTATTGTTAAGAGCTATCGACTGTTTTTTGAAACAGTTTAATACTGGTCAATGTCTTACCAATTAATTTGCCGCTTAAAGTTGCAAAGTATCCTTCTGCAAATACTTTATTTGTGACATATTGCATAACTCACATGATTGGACGCAGAACATTGCGATTTTGCATATATATATTGTATATTTGTTTTGTATACTGTTTATTGTTTGTATATTTGTTTTGGATATGTTAAACTTTGAAAATGTTATAGGTACCTCACTGCTAATTCTTTGCAGAAATTGTCGATTCGAGCTATAAACGTTACTACACTTGAGATAAAAGAAAATTATTCTATGAAAAGCTTTACTCGATTTTTCTCGAAAGTTTCCAAAGCTTCTAAACGCATTTTTCTCAATACAACGATTTCGTACACTCACAGATTTGGCTTTCTGCCGAAAGTGTTATTTATTACGCAAATAAATAATTTTCACTATTGTTACTTTGATAATAATGTTGTGAAATAAGTAGATTTTTAATGTATGTTGTTAAGGAAACTTAAATATTATGAAGTTTTATTTAGTGATATATATTCAGAAGGAAATTAGAAAATTACGTAATCGAATTTACAAATATATTTTGGGGTATTCCCCTTCAAAAAAAAAAATTATTTTAAAAATCTATGCATTGTGGACTGAATATTGTATCTACCTTTTACATAACTTATTTATCTTTCACATTATGTTCTTGAAAATTTTAATTCTTCAATAATATTATAAGCATCTTTAGTGTAATTAATACTTAAATTTGACTACAGCCCCGTCTGCATTCCTGCTGTTCGCCAACCGTGAAAGCATTCGACGGATATCCCAGGATACACCGGAAAATATGGACGTCTTCTTACCCATACCAGAAACTTACAATACCGTTGCCGTGGACTTTGATTACCAGGAGAAAGCAATTTATTATTCTGACATCAAACTTGACGTCATAAGGTAGGTTGATTTTTTTTTCTAGTAGAATATTTTGCCTTTCTCGCTGTTTGGATGCTCATTATTATAACAAGTAAGCATTTCGAAATCAGAAATGCTAATTAAAAGATGTTTAATTAAATACTTTGGGGTAGAATTTTAAAGAAGCTATGAGAATGATGGAAAGATAATGAGTATTTATTTTAATTAATTCAAAGTTAGAAACGTTCGTTGAAGCTTGTTTTATTAATAACATTTTCTTAAATATATTACATACAGGCGATGCACATTTATTTTAAGTTTCTAGCACATTTTTTGGATCTATTCAAGATTTATTAAATAAACTGAAATTCAAATTTGAAAACTAAAAATTATATAAATTTTCACAACATCCTCTATTGACCCACAAGACTATATAAAAAGGACCTAAGAGTATCTCTGGAAGATGATAAGTAAATATCTTTTTATGCACACAACCTTTTGTTATACTTTCTAATTGACCTCGGAAGAAGATCTGAGGATATGTTGGATTGAATATTAAGCTCTCGAGAAAATGTGTTTAGGATGCTAAGGAGGTATTCCAGGATCGCCTGAGGATGTGGAAGTAGGAAATTCTCCCGACATCCAATATATCATTGCCGATGGGACTTACCAAGGATGTTCTGAGGATATACTGGGATGTAGCATTAAGCAATCGAGAGAATGGGCTTTGGAGTATAATGAATCTGATAAACAGGACTTAATCCTCTCAGTATCCCTTATATCACTTTCGAACTGTAATTATCTAGAGTATATATTTAACACAATAATAAAGTTAGATTTTTACAACTTATTTTCTTTTCCTGTACAAGTGGTCCCAGTTCCAAAACTGTGCATCCAAAATATAGCTTGGCCAAAGGTATTTATGTGCAATTGTTAACCTGCAAACTTCTGTTAAACTAACACAGTGACTGCAATTATTATGCAATAATTTCTTGAAATAATTTTCTGTTTCAGAACCTTTGCCCTCAATCAGTATTCTTACAGAAAGTCAATATTCAATGTAGAAAGACAATTGAAATATTCTTATAGACAGTATCAATTATTCTTATGGAAAGACAGATATTTATAGCTGATTAGAAAACGGTATCCCTAGGATAGAAGAAAGACATATATAACAGGATGAAATGAAAATAGTTTGAATTTAATAAAATAATTAATATAAGCACGCGGTTAAAGATAAATGCGCTGTTACTGTTGCTGAAGAAGAAATGCAAAAAAATCGTTTTACCTTTTGTTCAGAACATGTTAACTTTTAATGAAGAAACTAATTCTTGAATTTTAATGTATGGTATATTTCTAAATTGTACAAACATTTATTTTTACACTATTTAATTATATTAATTCTTACTATAGAAAAATAAAATTTCATATGTAATCATCTCTTAATGAAGACTTTAATTTAGTGATGACATTAATTTTTATATTCAAAAGGCATTAATATCTATAAGAAAAGACACAAATTGTTACAGAGACAATATTCATTATCTTTAATCAGCATTAGTTCTTAAAAATGAAAGTATTAATTCATCTTCAATTGATGTTAATTCTAATGAAAAATACTCAGATCATCTTTAGTAAAGCTTGCTTTGTGGTGAAAGATATTAGTTCTTATGCTTAACGGACGTTCACTCTTGCAATCAATTCATTAATTCTTATTTACAGTAAACATTATTGTTCTAATTATAACATTAAATCTTTAAACAATGAGATTCTAGCCTTCAAAGATATTAATTCTTATCTTTCAATGCTACCAGATGAAGAACAGACACCTTTAATTTTGTCAAAGATGCTTTGTATCCTACATAATAATTTTAAAATACATTATTCGTTATCGACAACCATCCGCAAGCTTCATACCCTGTACGTCAATATTATCACTAAAATAGTTCCGAATTTTTATTCAGCTGTGAATATCTATGTATTCTGAGTATAGTTTTAAATTATGAAGAAAATGTTGGACGAAAGAGAAGAACTTCAGTAGCAGATACACATCACGATACCATCTATCGTTTCTCAAAGCCAATACACAAAGGAAGACTTTTGTGCTACAGCGCCATCTATTGGGTTTATGTATCTTTTGAACTTTTTGGACGTATGTTGTGCTGCTTCCAATGCAGGAATGTCGGTACAATATTCGATTCAACTCAGCATTTCCCACAGAATGTCAAAGAATATTTTTCTGCATCGCGACATTTTAAGATGTTCTTCCACGTCCATGGCTTCAATAAAAATTTTTCACAGCAAAGCGAATAAGGAATCTATTTTGAAGAGGAACGAGCAACCATAACTTTGAATTTGAAAACTGGCAGCGCAAGGTATGCTTAATAAAAGCAATATGCAGTTCCAGTAAAACGTTGCCTTGAATATAAATTGACGGTTACAGAAATTGCTGGATTCGAAACTGAAATATACATTTTTTTTATGAAACGTTAACATGATTAGTGGGTTATCCTTTAATAAAAAAAAGCGGGATAAATACAACATAGAGAAGCATTTCGCGATTCTCTTTTTCTTTTTCTAATATAATAAACCGAAAATTTTATTTGCGCGAATATTATGAAATATTTCTGAATATTTGATAGATCAAATGGAATGAAAAATATTGACAAAAATACACGTATTTGATCAACCGTATCGCTCCAATTTAATATGTAAATAGAAGATATACGACATTTAAATTAAATTACAGAAATGACAGAACTTACAATTTTTTTATATTTTTTATTTATTTATTTATATTTTTTTGGCTTTCGAACACGATTTAAAAATATATATAATATTAAATCAGAAATAGTTTTTAAAGTAACGGGAAAAATTTCAAAGAGTATAAAAATTCAAATAGAATGAGTTTTTGGCAAAAATGATATGCAGTACGTTACAGAAAATTCGAATTTCGGCTAATGGAAACAGGAAGGGAATAATTTTCTATAATGTAAGCTATTCTCTAATTATCATAATAAAACCATTAATTCCTGTCCACCTGTAATACAAGGTGTTACATTGAAATGTATAAATTTTTATTTTTAATGCATACGAATTCTTATGCCGAAGATTCACTATAAGCCATGCATTTTTATATTACTACACATTTTTAGACAAAATTCTTATTTTTACACACAATTCTTATCATTATGAAATTAATTCTTAAATTTATTGAAATACTAACGTCCATATTAAAACACGTTCCTCTCTTCGACAAACATTAATTCTCATAATAAATAACATAAATTTTAACTTTGAAATATTTTTTTCTAATGAAGAGTTAATTCTTTCACTGAACATGATTACTGAAGACATTAAGTAGAATGAAGGAATTAATTATTACATTAGGTAGAATGAAGGAATTAATTATTGTTTTTAATTTATTAATTCTTAAAAGACAGATATTAATTCTTATCACGAATCATTTCCTTTCAATAAGCAGATGTTTCTTTCTTTAAATGATATAATATTATATTTTTCATTTTGTTTCTCCAAAATAATGAAAGGGTGACAGTATAGACTTTCAAACTGCAAAACCTATTTATAATTTCATTTAAACAGATTTATAATTAGAAACAATGTGCGTTACCACAGAAAGGCTGTTTTTCTTGAAACGGCATTTTGCGTTGAATCACTAAAAGCGTTGTATCTCTTTTCAAATTGTTGCTATCAAATATTATCGCCCTTTATTATATTTGAAGAAATTAGGTGATGAAAAGTCTACATGAATGTGTGTATGTTTCTCGCATTGTGAAACCACAACGGTACCTAGAGCCATCAAGTTTTGAATAATGTAGTCCTCCACCCGAATATGAACATAACAGTCAAATTTTGATATTTCAAAATAGTTTTATTGTCTATTTCATATTTTGAAAAACGTTAAAGAATTTTTGATTAACAAACTGAACGACTTCAAAGCGAGCAATGGTAACATTATGCGGGGAAAAAAGATTAAACTCCAGCACGCGGACTATCTGAAATTTCAAAGATATGCTGTCTTTAAATGTAATTTCTTTTGCCCAAAGGGACATTAGCCTAAATTCTCTAGCAATGTTTATGTGTGTGAATGAAAAAAAACGCCCCTTTGAGTGTAATATGAATTCTGAAAGCTCTCAACTTTTTTTTACTTATTTTAAATATATTTATGATGTAAACATATCTAGTCTATTTATAATTTGATAAATAAAATTTCAGATTAGGTATACTTCAAGTAAAACCGAGGTATAAATATATAGGTATTGGCATTACAATTATACATCAGTTACATATAATAATCATACATACAATACATGAATACAATAATAATCATACAACATACATTACATAATAATCATACAACATACATTACATAATAATCATACATATAAGAATACTAATCACATAATAATAATCACACATAATAAATGTAATAATACTCTATAATAATACGTCAGTTGATTCGGCTTATAAATGTTTAGAGTAAATTCGCATTTGCCATTTGAATAGTACGTCAGTTAATTCGGCGTACAAATTTTTGGCGTAAATTCGCATTTACCATTCGAATTCTCTGTATTTTTAAAGGTATTACTGTAGTCTTATGGTAATACTTTTGGTTATTTGAAGCGGTATTTCTGTTTACTGTATTATTTTCACCTAAATCAATACTAAAAATGAAGAACTTAACTATACTAGTTGATGCAAGACTATTATTAAATATACTATTCATGAAAATCAGTTATCAGATAACCTAGAAACACAATGAACAGTAGTAGAAAGCAACTTTGAATAGGTCAGTGAAAGGTACTAATACTAGTAATAGGTATTGGCAACTTTGATTTTCCAATAGCTTCTATCCATATGTAAGCTTAAATTTTCATTTAATGGCTAATTACATATTCAGTCACATACTTTAAGTTTCTAATAATATCAAATCATATTTACATTTGAAATTAATATTGTGCTCAAATCAAGTTCATGAAAAGCATAAGATCGTTAAAATCGAAAACAATTAGAAGCTAATG